AACACAAAGATAATGTAACTACGTAATCCATAATATATGGTGGAGTGAATAAACTGTTAACTAATGCATTAATGTTTATCGACCTTATGGGAAAGAAATAGAGTTGTAAAATTTTAAAACCAATGAAGTATAAAATAAACAAAATAAATATCTTATCCCAATTCCTTTTTTTTTGTGAATGCTGAGGGATTGAAAAATTATTCGAAAGTAGTGTAATATTTCGATCAAATTCAATGATGCCATTAATAAATCTGAAAACATAAATTGTAAAAGTTAAAACGAAATTAAATATAATTCAAACATTTTTAAATTGTTTAAATAATGTGTTCCAAGTCTAAAAGAAATTCTGCAGTTACTGTATGGTAATTTGAGTACAAAAGTCTTACCATTAATATATACCTATAATATGGATATATGAACCAATTGTTTAAATTATTAGTTTCTTTGATATTATATAAACTATTATTATTGATTTAACTTTTATCTTAAATTTTTATAAATTTATATTATGATAATAGATTTCTTTATATATATCACAAATAAGTAAATTTAAAACCAACAAATAATTTTAAGCTCCTAAATTAATTTAAGTATAAAACACAATAAATATTTACTGGATTATCGGTATTATTGATACTCTGGCTACGATAATAATATTCCAAAATTTAAGTATGCTTATGTATTGAAATATATGAAATTCTGGATCAAGCTGATGAAAATACATATAAGTGCATACCAACAACACAATCATCCGTGCTGTTTCTAGAAATGCATTAAATTTTGAATCGATTTTTCGAACTAGAAAACCAGTCGGTTCCAAAGTATATGAATTATCAATTAAACCAACACACTTGGATAAAATTAAAATAAGTCTTAAGTTAACGTGAAAATTTGTCGTCATTTCGATAATGTTTGTTGCCAAAACTGAACTAACTATAAATAATTGTATTCGTAAAAATGTTGATCGATATTTATTCATGTATTATAATTCTTAGTTTGCACGCATAATATTTAGAAATATTACTTACGTAAATACGTTTCTCATAAAATATGCTCATGTCATTACATCAATATAAAATGCACATTCTACAGCTATATTTCTATGTCAGAAGTGTAGGTAATAGTACTTTGTAGACTTTTCCATCAATATATTTCACATTTAAAATTATACTTTCCTAGAAAGTTATTTTTAGAAATTGTAAATTTATTATGAAGTGAAACGAATCAACTAACTGTAGTGATGTGTTTATAAAATAAATATATATTTATGTAGATTAAAAACTGACTGATCAAATTCGACTTAGTAAGACACGAAGTGTAACAAATGTTAGAACTCGTTTATATATTATGACATATTATTATTAATATGTTACATATTTAATGTTAACAATATCCAATGATAATTTATTAATAAAATTCTTGATATCTCATTATACTCAAGTACATTTAAAATACTTATAGAAGTACTTTTAAAAGATTTAAAAAAGCACTTTTTATTTATTATTTTTTTTATCGAAATAAAAAAACAAAAAAATTAAAAACAAAGATCTTACAGAAAGACTCTTAACAATCTTAACCGGATAATAATTTACTTGATCAATGAACAAAATGATAAACTTTCAATTACTTATTTGATTTTATGTAAGCAATATCGGTATAATTCTTTTTTTAATACAGTATGAATGATATCAAAAAATTTAGAAATTGAGAACTTCTATTACAATAAATTTAAAAAATACGTTAGACAAACGTTCTGCATCACTAGATAAAGCTCAGGGAACAACTGCAAAGTTACATTTACATTAAGACCAACAATTATTTTGTATAGACATCTTTAGATTTCCAAAGGACTTATAAACGGTTCAGTTGAAACAATAACTGATATTATCTATGATCAAAATACTGATAAAAATAATTATTATGAAAATATGTTGTTTTGCATGCATATTATTTATTTTTCCTAAGCATACTAGACCAAACATTTATAATATTGTAAAATAACATTTTATGAATTGAAAATATATATATATATATTTAGTCACTGATTAACAACTTGGTAAAACACTTCCAGAAAAAAATCACAGTGAAGTTAAATCAATAAAAAAATATATACTTCGTTTAAAAGCCTTCGTTTTAGTTTAAAATATTATCGTATATTGATCAAAGAAATTTTATTATACAAAAAAGAGGAATATCATTAGATGAAGAAATTAACCTCCTCTCAGATTTGAAAAAGGACCTACAAAATATACGAGATAGCTGGTTCCAAATTTTATTAGAAACGCACAAGTAGCTTAGAAAATGCAAATAGTTCAACATTTTAGAGATAATATTAGACGAATAAAAAGAAAAAGAACATTTATTGATGAAACTTTTGAAAATACTGAACCTGAAATGGTATTTAGAAATTATGTGATTTACTTCATAATTGACTTTATTCTTTCAGACTTAGAACATCGATCTCAACCGTCAAAAATATTTGTAACATGTTTGAGCCATTATTAAACTTTTTATCACTGACCAATGAAGAATTAGAATTGAAATTAAAATCACTTGTACAAAAATACAAATTTGATTTATCTGAAAATATGTGTCAAGAAATGTTACATCTGAAATCTATATATTCTTCAACATTTCAAAAAAGCCATGTAATGCCATCACTCGAACTATTAAATTCCATTTACGCAAAAAATGTGCAAACAATTTTTGTAAACGTGTGTATTAGTCTCCAAATATTTTGTACTATTCCGGTAACTGTAACAAAAGCAGAAAGGTCTTTCAGTAACTTGGGAAATTCACTGAAGACGTGGCAAAGATCCACAACGAGTCAAGAACGATTAAACTCACTTGACTTGCTATTTTATCTGTGTATTTTAATTGGCTTCGAAAATCAATTTATAATTACCGATTTAGCTGAGCTCAAAGCCTGTAGAACAAAATTTTAAATTAAAAAAAATATATATTAAATATAAATTAAAATAAACATGTTTTTTTTTTTTTTTTATTTTAAAAAATTTGTAAAAAAAAAAAAATAAAAAAAGACATTTTTAATGTAAAAGTGCTTATGAAACTTGATTTTTTTATAATTTACTGATGTTGTCTGTCTTAACAATGAATATTAAATTCGAATTGGTATAATAAAAAAAATTAATATTGTTCCAAAAATTGTTATATATATATATATATATAGTAAATTGTATTTTTGGAATTTTTATAAAGGACCCGGTCAAACATTTAGTACAGGGGCCCGAAATTGTATGTGGGGGCCCTGCTAGTATTAATAGATAACAACAATGATACTGTGGTCACGTGATATTGTAATAATATTATGGCAATATATTTATTATAAACAAAAAATAATATTAAGCTTGTGAAAAACTGAATTGTTCGACTGATTACTACCGTGTATTGATTATTAGCCACTCATTTGTACACAGACACACCTAGTATTATACATACAAAACGTAGTCGTTCAAGTCATTGCGTGCTTACTAAACGCGCAGTGAAAAATAACATGCTCGAATAGTTGCTCGACTATACAATACCCCTCATTAAAATAACATCGCTAATATAATAATCTATACAATTTTTCACATAACTATCAAAATCAACAATGTATTTATTCCAAGAAAACAATAATTTGTGTATACATTGTGAAGGACACTCCGGATCTTTCACTTAATTGAAGAAAAAATCAAACTATAACACTTTACACATTGTATTATATCAGGTAAAAATATGAGGTATAGACGTTTCGTGTATTCGATAAATATATTTACAAACATCAGAAAATATTTAGTACATAAATACGTTCATATAATGATTTATAAATTATATATGTTCATTTTGTTTAGTAATAATTTAATAAATTAATAAGAAATTCGTTTTACATGTTTGTTTGATTTGAAGGTCATGGCATAACAAAAATAAATATTTGAATTTCTATCGGGGAGTAATAATTTTTTTACTTCAGTACAAGGGAATATATAGTATTAAAATGACGAGTAATTTTTGTAAAACTATAAGATCAGTACTGATCTTAATCAAACTTGTAGGTATAATTAATATTTCTTATACAATAGAGGAACCAACAAGACTATTAATTCGAAATCCAAACACAGTATTTTATTTATTTCTTGAATTGATACAAATATTGGGCTTATTGATATTTACTTACTCATTCTTAGATTCATCATTTCATACAATTTTAAGGCAATTTTATTTGATTTTATTTGATTTTATTTTGGAAAATTATAATAACAGCAAGAATATCAGAAACATGGATTATTAAGTATGTACTTATCTGAAGACTAAAATATATATATTGGAATCTTATTTTTAATATTTATACTTATTTCAAAAGGCTTGAACGTCGAGTAACTTGATATAAATAAATAATTTCAATTCAATTACCTAAAAATTAAAGTTAAATCTACGAGTAACATAGTATAAATTTGTTTTTAAAGAATCATAAATTTTAAAGCTAAATATAATTTTTAGTTACCATAAGTCCTGACGGTATAGAAATATAAAATTATATATTGAAATTAAACAATTTAGTACACTATTTATGATATAATAAATGTGTTAAAAACTTAAATATCGTATTTTTTTGATTTATTTAAAATATAAATACATCAAACAACGATATAAGTAAGTAAGCAAAGTATAAGACATCGAATACTTAAGTTAGTTATATAATATAGTATATAACTTAAGTATAACGACCACATTTTTGATAGGTAACTGGCTACTGAGAGTAATGCAGAAATAATTTTCAACTTAATGAGAAAAAATTTAACTCAATAAATTAAACTGATTTAACGTCATTATTTTCTTTTTCAAGGTTGATCAATGGCATTGTTGAATTCGACCGAAAAATCATGCCACTCTTATCACGTCTGTCAGCCCAACAACGTTCAATGAACAAAAATCGTTGGGGCATGTTTTTTATTTTATTATTCTTATATTTTATCGGAGTCAAATTTATTCAAATATATATGTGGCCACCGCGTACACTAAACGTCAATTTACTTTCAAACCATTTTTTTGGACCTCCGTTCATCGTACACTTTGCAGTATTCATTTCCACGTGTTTCTTCCTCTATAACTTGTACATCAGATTCGGAACATTAAATGATCTCTGGAAATGTCTCCCAGTCGGATTGATCGCCGTTTCGGATCGACGGACGCACATGGAAATAGCGGTTCTGATCGACGATATACGGTTGTTACACTCTGAACTGAGCGAACTAATGAAAATATTTAGTCTAGGTTACGGTCCGTTGCTCATAGCATTTTTTACGTCCAATTTTATCAATACGCTTTTTAATATTTTTTTGGCGATATCATTCAGTGACTTTTTACCGCACTTCAGTTTGACCGAAAACGTATTAAGAATATTAATCCAGTATTTATGAATCGGACAATCAGTCTTATTTGTGATGCTTATCGTGGTTTTGGTATCGTTTATAAACGATAAGGTAACAACGTAAACATTTTAAACAATTTCCATAAATAATGGTAGTAAGCATAATACGGGCAATACATTTTGAAATATTTTATTTTTACAGAGGAGGAAAATTATATATTATATACGATTAAACCGTATTTCAAACTTACCCGTACACATAAAACGACAAGTAATATACATTTTAAAACCATTCTTCATTACTTTTATAACTCAAAATCAATGCACACACATCACAAATGCAACGATATACTTGCACAAATAATATGAGTCTACCATTTTGTTATTTTAAGTATTTTATCGTTTAGATTAAAATGTTTATGAATCAAATATCAGTTTACGAATCAGATGAAATTACCGCTTTTGGATTGTTCAAAATAAATTTGAATCTTGTTATATCGGTGAGATAATATTAATTACATAATACGTTAAAAAATATTTGTCACTCAAGTATTTATTAATTAACCTATATGAATACGTATGGTACTTAATACATTCGTTTAAAATGTATACATTATTTAAGTAATCCAGTTTGTTTGTTTTTTAAATTGAATTTATTTTTTTTTTTTACAGATGTTAATGTTATTAATTACCGGGATAGCCACATCAATACAAATGAAAGAACATCCAATGGTTTTAAAATGGATCAATGAAATTCAATTCGTTGCAGCCCTTCAATTTAAGAACACAATTTATAAGCTAACTACTAATTCTTCTGTTCAGCAACAAATTTAAACATATACTTATACATAGTTACACTTTGTACTTTATGAAATCAAATCTCACTAGTATTTTTGAAAAAGTTCAAATGAATTTAAAAAATGTCTTGTACGCTACGTATATTATTTATACACATTTTATTATACTTTTTTTCGAGGATGCAATTTACCTATTCCGTTTACATTACCTCAAAATTTACACTAAGTCACATAGGCTATAGATATAAAATATTTTCGAATTGTCTAACACAAATCACAATAAGTTTTATTTTAATAAATATCAACGAAAAATATGACAGTTTGTTTTTAAAAGTCAACAAATCAATTGGTTTACTATGTAATACTATTAAATAACCTTGAATAACTGGGCTTCAATCGTCTCGTAATAATATGCGAGATGAATCATTGAAATATAATTACAACCTTACAATATTTATAATATTATACTTATTGATTATTTTAAATATTAATTAATAGAAAAAATTTTATGAACTCAGTGACATAATTTCTAAGCTATAAAAATGTATTTAATACTTTAAACTTAATCATAATAATATTGAAACATGTATACATTTTTATCTATAATCACATTTTATCCAGTAAAATTTTAATTCGAATTAATAGTATGGACGAAAAAAAATTAAAAAAAGAGCCTCAGAAATGTTTCCAAATTCAACCATTTATACTTTAAATAATGTATCCACTGGTATCTGCAGTAAGGTACTCCTCTAAATTATAATGAATACAAATCGTATGCATAAGAACTGCAGACCAGTAAAAACAATGAAAATTCAAAGCCCGGCAGTCAGTAGTCTAAAACGGCTCTTTCTAAAAGAAGAGAGTTATAAAGATTAATATCAAATTTGTTTTCTTTAAGAACCAAACAACAGTAACACAAAAGCTTTTATACACTATTATTATAGTAAATAAAATAAAGCGTAATATATAATTCTAACTCGTCATCAAATAATGTTGTTATAATGGTATCTGGACGATAGTTGAGTCAATGAAGGGAAATTGTATAGGCAACTATTCGAGCATGTTATTTCTCATCACGCGTATAAACTATAAAGTACACACAATGACTTGAATGACTATGCATCCTATAATATGAACTCAATAAAAAAAAAACAATTTATTCGTACCACTATATATGTAACTATATTTACTACTAAAAAAGAGTGTCTTACTAGATACAGTAACAGTTGGGCAAACTATTAGTGCATCATGTTTTATTTGATGTGTTTTGATATCGAATTGTTTATAATCATCTTTATTGAATTGTTAAATTTGGTATATTATGTAAAATTAAGTGAATCCCAATAGTTTATCCAAGTGCGTATTCGTGGAACTGCATTTGAACCATTTAAAATTGTGTGTATGTAAACGGATAAAAATTATTTAGGTCACTACGTTTCATAGCTCATAATAATAATAATAATAATAATAATAATAATATGACGAAAAGTTAGATTCTATAATGCTATTAATTTTCTAATGTAAATTGTATACATATTTAGTATATTACAATAAATATATTACAGCTAATGTCCTTACCATTTAGCTCATTAAACTTTAACTCGTACATCAAAATATCGTGCTTATTGTCACAAGTATTATTGCACGTAGTACGTTTTTTATAATGATTTTAAATAAAATGATTTTTAATGATACATTTTTAAGCATAAAAATGTTTAAAATAAACATTGATTTAATCATAATATCATTTATCTAACTGAAATTTAATTATCATCCCCTGTATCGATATAAAATTCAAAACCAAAACAAAATTTGTAGTATCTCATCATATTAGAAGATTTAATATAAAATTCAAATTTATTTAAGATGTATAATATTAAAATATTACTTACTGAATTCAACGTTTATAAATACTAGGTATCATAATAAAATAAATGCAAAGTGTAATGGCAATTTAATGATATGCGTACTCGTTACCCCGCAGACCGTTAGTATTGAGTTGGCCACTTCTTAGTGCTTGTGTCATGATTAATACACACTAATTGTATTATGAAGTAAACTGAATATAATGACGTACTCCATGAACCGACAATATTTCAGTTCACTTCTATCAAACTTCGTTATTGTATCATGCTAGATAGATTATTTATAAATTTACTGATAGTGGATAGCAGTGGTTCTTGTCCATGGCCCCTTGGGAGTCCGTGAAACTCATGTTAGGGGTCCACTGCAGCCTTAACACATAACATGCTTCAATACGTGACGTAATGTAAAAGAAAGGTATTTGAAAAAAAATTAGTATGGGGATCCATGATTTCTAAAAATCTTTGAACAGAGATCCGTGATTTACAAAAGGTTAAGAACCGCTGGTATATAGTATTAGCTAAAAAATTGAAGCAATATATCAATGACTAATAAATTGTAACAAATAAATATTGAACTTACGACGTAACCAATTAAAAGTTATAACCGATTTGTATTCTAAAATAAATATAATATTAATATTTTCATCATAATAATTAAAAATATGTGTTATGACCAGTATAATTTTAATAATGTTCTCACCACTTTTCAGCCAACAAAATATTAAAATATAACTGCTTACTCCTTTAATAAGAATTTTACAATAATTATTATTTTTTTATATTTTTAAAACAAATATTAAGTAGGTATACATAAATTTACGTAATAACAACGTATAAAGATTCATATGTTACCATGTTTAACATGATATTATATCTCATGAATTGTAATTAAATATTTCATGTAAAAACTAAATATAGAACTAAATACTATTATTGCTGTAGTCTGTATACCGTATACCTACTCTAAAGTTCTCAAAACGTATATTTATTTTTATTCATTCAAAATTAATTTTATAATTTTATTTTTTCCAACACTTCAAAAACTTAAGTGAAAAAAGAATTTTAACTCGTAAATTTATATTTTATATTTTAGATTTTTAAAATTTAATAATATGCAAGTATTAAATATTATACTATTAATAATAAATATTTTAGAGTTTTAATCAAACCATGGTTTTAATTTAAAATAACGTGGCTGAATCCTATAATAATTATATGGTATCGTATATATAATAAAATAATTTCCTTGAATTTCTTTAATAGATACTTGTATTTTTTAGTGATAGTTTATTTCAGTTAATTGCCTTAACATAAATAGAATGCACATGATATGAAAAATGTATGGAAAACTGGGTTTTGAATGAATATATATTTCGATTAATTTTGATGTACAAGTACAATAAAAAATAATAATCCTGCTTGATATTTTTGGTAATTTTTTTTTTTTTAATTTAAAATTGATGTTTTGGTGGTATAAACTATAAGTATCAGCATTGGCACAACTAAGAAAGAGGTGTATATAAGCAACTTGTGCACACTCAACTTTAAAATGAGCACTTTCAAAAATAAAAACATCTTTCTATTAAAATTCGACTATTTTAAATTAAATATTATCATTAATTAAAATACTCTATACTACACTGTTTATTGAGATAAATAAATACTTATGTTCCAGCTATCTATGAATTCTTCACTTTATGTACACCTATAAAAATATTGGCTTAATCCCGTCTATGAGTATCAGATAGAATTTTTAAAATTATAATTTTTCTTTCAGTTTTATCATTATATAGTTTATCAGTATTTCAATTTTTTAGAAATATGTCCTTTATCTCCATATAAAGCCTTGGATATTGTTCTTCTGTATGGGAGTGGTTAGGTTGTAACACAGAGAATGGCTTAAATATATTGTGATATCCAGTAATTAATTATTCTTCTTTCTATTACAATTTACAACCTTCATGAATGTTCGCAGACTGCCGTTAGACGACCCTGCAACTAAATTATGAACCAAGTGTCGCGAGATAAGAAAACTAATATTATAAAATCGGCATTATAATTTATTGACCGTTTATTAATATATAATACAAGAGAGTACCTACATATAATGCATAATAACTGCTATAGGTATCTAAATAATAATAATATTCTTTAATATCCCAATTATTATTATTATTTTTTTGTAATATAGTATTAGTACACATATAATTATATACATAGTGTTATGATAAGACTTAACAACCGAAATTAATAAGGATGGAAAAAGTATAACACAAATTACTAATTTAACCTTGACTCATTAGAGTGACGAGGTATATGAAACAATTTCATGTTAATAATTTTTAAGTAAATATGGGTTTTAACGATTAATGTAAATACCAATAGTTACTCCATTAAGCACTGCAACAGTGTAAGTGCAGTAACACTCGTGTTATAACAATGTTTATTTATTATTATTGTGATTACTGATTACAAATGTTTGTTTGTGCATTGTATTATATTTATAACTGCATTGTCTTTTTTTTTCTTGAATAATCGACAGCGACGAAGGATCTATATGAACAACACTACTCCTCTGCTACCATCGCTTATTGTAGTATAAAATTCAATACATAACATATTATATAATAACTGCAGTCCATACGTTTACATGTTAACTATCGCCAATTAAAATAATATAGAGATGCCGATAAGCTATACTAAACTGACCAGCTTTTATCATGCTTTAGACAAAATTTACTAGCGCTTTCTAGATTAATCCCTTAATAGTACCGTGAAATCAATTACATAATTTCTATAATAATAACAAGCTATAAAATATAATATATGATTATATTAATGAGCACTTGGAGTGCTGTTTCTGAAAGTCAAAATGGCATAAACAGCAAGTCACACAACTTACAGATTTATCATAACTTGTTGGAAATCTATACTATCTTAATAAATTTAAAGTTACTATAGCTATTTTTAAGCTTTAATACTACTAATCAAAATTTCGTATTAAAAGTTTACCTATAAAATTAAACATCCATATATGCATATAAATAATCAACATTTACATCAAATTTGTGGACTGTGGTTATACCTAATTAATATATTATAATTCAAAATAAATAAAACTAAGATAGATTTCAAAATAAATTTGTTTAAATTTCTACCTACCTAATACCTA